AGTAACTTCCAGAATAGTACGGATAGCATTCTGGGCAACTTCTGAACATGCTGGACCGAATAGTATGGAGCACTTGTTCAGATTAATACTCTGGCCAGTAGCACTAGCATAGAGGTCCAAAATCTCCTTGACTTTCAGAGCTTGATCCTGTGTTGCCTCAAAAAACAGCAAAGAGTCATCTGCGAATAAAAGATGTGATATCCCCGGCGCCCTTCTACAGACTCTTATAGGATTAATACTTCCAATATTAACTTCCTGCTTCAGAATGGCTGATAATCCGTCAGCAACGAAAAGGAATAAGAAGGGTGATAGAGGGTCACCTTGCCGTAGCCCACGCGACGGTGCAAACGAATCTAGATGGGTTCCATTAAGTTTTACCGAATACCTCACCGAAGTGACACATGTCATAATCCAGTCCACCCACTGGTGAGAGAAACCCAATTTCTGCATCATTTGCTTCAAGAAAACCCAATCAACTCTATCATATGCCTTTGATAAGTCGAGCTTATATGCACAAAAACTTCTGGTAGGGTCTTTTTCTTGCTTTATATGGTGGATGCACTCGAAAGCAATGAGTGCATTATCCGTGATCATTCTTCCGGGTATAAAAGCACTCTGCTCCGGCAAGATAATATCATCCAAAATTGGCCTCAGCCGATTCACCAAACACTTTGATATGACCTTATAGGTTACATTACATAAACTAATAGGCCTGAAATCAGTCAACTTCGAAGGATTAGGGACTTTTGGGATAAGCACGATTGAGGTTGAGTTAACCCCTTCCGGCATCACACCTGAGTTGAAAAACTCCTTAACTGACGTGATTACGCTGTCCCGTAGCGTACTCCAGTTACGCTGAAAAAAGCGTGCTGGAAAACCATCCGGGCCCGGGGCCTTCAACGGACCGATATGAAACAGGGCATCCGAAATTTCGTCATCACTGAAAGGAGCACATAGCTTAGCATTATCATCATCAGTTATCAATGCATCAAACAGACTTAGAACCGGAGTGTGGATGAGGTTCGGATCAGCCGTGTACATTCCTTGGAAGTACTCATTAGCCATTTGTCTCATTGTCGCCTCATCAGAATGTGCAACACCATTATCGTCCACGAGTTCACGAACTTTATTTTTTCTAGCTCTCCAAACCGCCTTGCTCTGAAAGTATTTCGTGTTTCTGTCTCCCTCTTTCAGCCAATTTATTCTCGACCTCTGGAGCCATAGCATCTCTTCCTGATATAATAACTCGTTCATTCTGTCGGTTACTCGCCGTATATCCTGACGATCGGCATTCATATTCATCAATTCCTCAAGTTGTGACCTGGACTTGGCTAGCTCGCGGGTTATGTTTCCAAACTTTTTCCTACTCCATATGCCCAAAGTATACATGGTCTTCTTCAGGGCTGACTGCAACTGTTCAAGGTTCCCAATTGCTCCCACCGACTCCCATGCTTGCTGTACCAACTCGGGAAGCTCACCACTTCGCTCCCAAAAGATTTTATACTGGCGTCGTCTTCCTGCGCTCGGCCCAGGGTCTGGGGTCCCCTTAAGAATAAGAACCACATGATCCGAACAAGGAGACACCACATGGGCCACTGAGGAGAAAGCGAACATATTGCGCCAAGCACTAGAGGCGACAGCACGATCCAAACGTACACGCACGTTTGCAGTCCCGCTTCTCCTATTATCATAAGTAAACGGTACACCTGAGAAACCAATATCCACTAGTTGACATACCTCAAGCACATCACGAAAGGCCAACATTTGTGATTCAGCTCTTGGTGTTGCTGAGAGGTGTTCAAATTCCCAAAGACACTCATTGAAATCTCCAATAACCAACCAAGGAAGGTCCGAGGTGTTGAACAGAGATTGAAGTTTCTGCCACATTAGGAGACGATTCTCAACACGCGGCTCCCCGTCCACAAACGTTACTCTCCACTGTTCGGCGTCAGCATGTAACCGAACTGCCACATCAATATAGCGATCATCCTTGTCCAGAATATCTATTATCAGACTTTTGTGCCAAAAAAGGGCAAGGCCCCCGCTCAGGCCGTTGCTATCCACACTAGTAAATCCTTTGAGGACTAGCCGGCCTCTCAATCTTCTCATTTTATCTTCTTTTTGTCTTGTCTCGCACAGAAACACCATCCTGGGGGAATGCGACTGCACTAGCGTCGCTAGCTCACGAACTGTCCGGGAATTCCCCCCTCCCCGGCAGTTCCAGCTCATGAGATCCATTAATTCCGGCGGCGCTCCTCGATGGAGCCCGCCAAAGATGAAGCATTCTTCTGAACATTAGAACCGGCCACGATCTTATATGCATTATCAGACTTGGATCTCTTCAAGTCTTGCTTGGGCGGCGGACTTGCAGGAACAGCCCCCGGCCCTGGTAACAACAGATCATTTTTCAGAGGAGCTTGTTCCGAGGGATTTGCAACACCCCTTTTTCTGTTCTGTTCCCCCTCCTGCGTCTCAATCACAGCCCCTTTATCTAGGTCCATAGCAGCATTTGGAGCTGTTGATTTTTCTGGGTGTTCAGTAGATTCCTGGGTTCGGCCCCCTCCTCTACCTCCTCCCCTCATACTCCAGCCTGCTCTCAGCTCTTTGAAAACCAAAGCTTTTTGGTCATGAACACCATCCCCATGCTCAGTATATAAGTGACCAATCATCCCACAAACGACACACCAATCCGGAAGGCGCTCATACTTAACCTTGAAAATCTGCCTTTTCATCTTCTACATTTAACATTTAACATAAACTAGGTAGCTGCACGCTATAAAAAATGTATGCAATTTTTTTTTCTCCTTGCTAATTGAGATTTCATGATGTGCAACTTCGGGGACTGACAAATGACTAATTAAAAGGCCGGCTTAGAAACAACTAAAGTTGTACTTATATACTACCTCTATTTCTAAATATATGACGTTTTGGCAGTTTAATTGAACTACCAAAACGTCTTATATTTAGGAACTGGGGAGTAACATGGATAGTAGGCCTCCTTACAAGTGCATATGGAAATCCTACATCTTTTATACCTAAATAGTTGATCCGTACTAACTTAATTATCTTGACGTGCAACTATGACAACTCATCATGTCATCATGTATGCCTCAAAAATAATAATTCTAAACACATTGCAACTATGCCAACTCAACATGCTCCATACATGGGGAAAGACCCACCTTAACATGCATCATGCATGATACTTATATTAAATAAATTTTCTATAACTATATAATAATCAAATATAATAAATTACATGTGCTTGATTTTAAATTCTTACATTGCTAATCAGAATACTAAAGTTTCATACCGCAAAATCTCATAGAAGTTACTACAGCTAACTCCCGCTACAACGCGCCGGTATCATCTCTAGTTTCTCTAGAGAGTGCTACATTGTGAAAATTTTAGAAGTAATCAACTTAAACAAGGACATATGAAAATGTAGTACTGAACTAATTGTATGTCTACCTTCGGCTACAATGTAGTACTACTAACTAATTGTAGTACTCCCTCCGTCCGGAAATACTTGTATTAAAAATGGATAAAATAGATGTATCTATAACTAAAATAAGTCTAGATACAACCATTTCTAGGACAAGTATTTTCGGACGGAGGGAGTAGTAGCTAACTTGAACAAGAACATGTGAAAATGCAAAAGGTGGACATACATTGAAAAGAAAGGCCGCCATAAGAGAGTGGGAAACCAATCCTGCCTGGCGATGTCCGCCTTGTGCCTTGCAATGATGTGTCCAACCTAGAAAAATAATAATGGCACGATGGATGAGAGTTTGAATTGCGTGACGTGAACTCATTAATCCTGTATTAAACCTAGCTACCTCACCTCGTGGCCAAGAACAACGGCAATCTCAGCGTCAGTTTTAAGAACTTCGAGCAATCCGGTGGTGACCATTATCTTGCGGGGCAGGCACCCTGCATCGACCCGATCATCTTTGACAAGGATGAGCTCCCACTTCACCCCATGGAGGTGTCCCGCGTGCGGTTGCAGACGGCTCGGTTTCTTACCCTGCTGCTTTCTTCGGGTCCCGTCATCCAAATCCTGCGCATCCTTGTGAGCCGCACAGATGAGTTTCTCGAGGATGCGGCGGACGCGGACACTGTCGGGGTGGAGCGGGTCAACGATCCGGGACTCGGCGGCGTACTTGCTCATGTCCTCGTCGAAGCGGCGAACACAAAGATCGCGCTCCGACTGGGGGGTGAGGACGACCACATGAATCCTGTTAGTGTACGGCACGACCTCGAGGTCGAGGTACGGGCGGTAGTAGGCTAACGCCGTGAGGCCCGTGATGCCGGAGACGAGAACTGCCGCGGCGGCGATCTTGAGCGGATTGTTGTACCATCGGGGCCGGGGGCCGACGGGCTGGGAGGTGCAGTAGTGTCGACGAAGCGCGGGCGATCGACAAACGGCAGCAGGTTTGGTGTTGTGGCGGAGCAAGTAGTCTGAACGTGAGGCGGCTGTGTGCGGACGCCGGCCACGGGCTCCGACGCTGAGGATGCGGCGGTGAGAATTCCCTAAGATCATGTTTTCTTAATTAATCATCTTTCCTCCGATCTTCTCTGAGAAAAATAAAATAATCTGGGACAGTTTTTTTTTTTGAGATCAGGGTGGAGTCCAATCTAGTGGGCCGTTGGCCTTGTATACCACCGGAGAGACCGGACCACCATCATCATACCCGGCCTCTGAAGCCCAAGTATCCAGCCCGTCCATCCAACTACCCAACCCAATACGATACGCCCACTGGTCGTCTTCTCCCCTACCTCGCGCCCTTCCAGATCACACCACCACCGTCACCGCCTCGCCGTCGCCGCAGACCTCTCCGGCGACCCCCTCCCCCCTCCCCTCCGTCGGAGACCCCGTACAATCCGTGCCGCCCACCACGAAGCGCCAGCTCGCGCCCCCGTCCCCGCTCCCGCATCACGCAATTCGCATCGCCGGCCGCTCGGACCGCCCCCGCTCGATCCGCTAGGGTTTTGGCGGGATGGATCCGCTCCGGAGCTACCTGGGGCGGGTCCTCCTCGAGGACGTCACCCCGGTGGTGATGGTGCTGACCACCCCGCTCGCCGAGGCCGCGTGCCGCAAGAGCGGCCTCAGCTTCGTCGACATGCTCTCCCCGTTCTCCCTCTTCAAAAAAATCGACGGTAATGCGCCTCCACGACGCCAGCTTCAGCTGATTCCCTGCAATGCTTTTCACATTTTGTTCGATTCGGTTTTGTGACCTCACGCGGTGTTTGTGTGTCGGTTTGAGCAGTGCCCGTTCGCACAGCGAGTGACCAGCCTTACAGGCTCCAACAGTTCAAGATTCGGATGGTGTATGCGTCGGATGTCCGGAAGCAGGACTGCGAGGTGAACCTTGTGGAATGTGCTGTATACTTGTAGTTGTAGATGCCTTCTGCTGTTGATGATGAACATGCTTGTGTTGGAACAGGTTGCAGATGCAAGAATTAAGCTGGTCGTTTCCGAGGCCAACGAGAACGCTCTTCCGGATTTGCTTTCAGACCCGCCACAGTTGGAAGATGTACTCAAAAGTGAGAACCCTTGCACTGCCTCTGTATGCAATCATATTGTGAGATCCTTCCGAAGAAACATTTTTATGTTGAGCAAAATGAGGGACTATAACCAGAGTAGCCGGACCGCTAATTTCTTCAAATATTTCCAATATAGTCTCAATGTTAGAAACGTTTGATGAGCAGCCACAACCTTTTCCCCCAAATGTTACAGTGAGCACACATGGAGACTGGAGAGCATTCATGCCACAATATGTATTGCTCAAATTGCCTGTTTTGTTGTGTCAATATGCTGTCAACCTCCACTTGGTTGGTGATCTGATGTATCTAATTGGCTGATGAATGCTTTGGTTGTATTGATGTCTTACTCAAGCCGATCATTATATCCATGTGGTTCAGTCATAGGGTTGGTGTTTGCTGTCTATTGGTTCCATATTTTTTACATAGAATTCCATGTTTGCTACAATTTCAGAGCCTGAAGCTGAGTTGTGCCCATTGTGGATTAAGAGGTTCAACAGAGAGCTAGTGCGGACACTGTCCTTTTCAGACCATGAAACATTTGATCACCCCGTGGCATGTGAGTCTCGGCTCTTTACTCTTTGCTTTCTTTTATTTGCAGAATCTATTCTTCCTCATACTCTTATTATTGTTAACAGGTCTTTTAGTTGTATCGTCAAAGGACAAAGAGCCAATCAGCAAATTCGCTGATCTGTTCAACACAAATCAGTTGCCTCCTCTTTTAAATGAAGGCATAATGGATCCCCAGATTCTGAAGCACTATCTTGTACTTCATGAACAACAAGATGGACCACAAGAGATGTACTATTCCTTTCTCCTCATAATAGGGAACACACTCTCCTCCTTGCATTGGTGAAATGAACTATTGAGAAATGCTAACAAGTAATACATGCATATTCCAAAATATAGGCACATTTTAACTGTCCAAATTTTAGCTTTGACCATAAATCTCATACAATACGTTTTTAATAGTTGCAAAATCACAATCATAAGAATCTCCTTTCAAAGGTATGAATCCAATGGTGTCAATTTTGTATATTATAAGCCAAATATGATTAGATTAATTGGCGGCTGAAGCATAAATTTGGGAAGGAAAAATACACCTTACATTTGAAATGAAGTGAGTATTGTTTCTTCTTAAATGGTCACCAACATTTTTCAGAAGTGAAAAAACATCTTGTGAACTTGCGTCGGTGATGTGAGCTTTCTAATATATTATGTTCTTTCAGACTGCTCTCTCTTCACACTGATATTAGAAAGTCTGGCATCCCTAGTTCAATGTATTTTAAGGTAGTCAAGGAATTGAGGCTTCTTCAATTAATTAGTTTGTGTGACTCTTTGCCTAAGATCTCAACTGTTGAGTCGACCAAGCCCTCTTATGTCCACCTATATTAACAACATGAAGCACATATTTATGTGAATTATAATGATTAAAGTCCTGTTTTGTTGTTTAATGCATTTGTTCTTATAACTTGAACAAACCCTAAACCATTATATAATATTTAAATGGCATATAAGGCTTCACTCAAAGCTAGTATATACCACATGAGCACTTAGGGGTGCAGTAGGTGTCAGCTTGTTTACCTTTCTTTGGAATAGTGAGCTGTATCTTCATCTTGCAGCTAAGGGCCCAGTTGAAGGGCTCTTCAGTTTGATAATCTTAAATGTCACAAGAAGCTTAAGTCCCCATAACTGAGTGGTGAGTGTGCCTTCTCGGGAAACTTTTAAGCCCCCTTCGTATGGGGAACCTGAAGCCTCTCAATTAGGCCAGCTTGTTGAAGAAGCTAAGCTTTGCCAAATAGGGCCTACCCCATTTAGAATAACTTATTTCATCCCCAGGGTTATGCTTATCTAAGTTGGAACATGCAATTAAGGTAATAGCTGATGTTTTAACTGCTCGCATTGGTAAAAGGAAGTGCATCACACTTGACTAGTGGGATATTAAATGGATTCCGTGCATTGCTCTTTTTTAGTATATTTTTGCTTGACTGGTGTCATTTGCTGATTTTGCCGTCTCCTCTTATTAAGTTCTGATTCTGTACATTCTTTGGTTGACCCGTGTTACTTCCTTTGTCAAGAGCTGTGAACATCTTAGCGGAAATGAGGACCACCCTGGGCGTGAATGATTGTAAATTGCTGAGTATTAACTCTTCTACACAAGCGGATGGCAGTGATGCTGATAATTCGTGGTCAACCTATGTAAGTGCGCCGTGTTACTTAATATTTATGTTAATGTCTACGTAGTTGAGCAAGTATGCAATCTACTTATAGTCTTGTCTTGACTGACTGCAGAAAGCTCATGGCCTGCACAATAATGAAGGAACTTGTTTCCTTAACATGGATGATTTGAACGAGGTATTGCAGCATCTGGAGTAATAGCAAGTTACTGCTTCTCCAATCTCTGTTAAGCTTGTCTTGGCACATAAAAGTTTCATAAAACTTTGTTCAACTTTTCACAGTATCTAACTGACCAGTTCAATTAGGAATGTTGTTAGTTGGATTGAAGACCTATTGTGCTTTTGACAGTAGTGTGAGCAACTGACCTGTTAGTCGATTGATTCGAGGTTTTTGTAGGAACTAATGTCAAGGAGGACATATCGATTTTTCTTTTAGTTTCTGGTACTAGGCCAGGTCATCCTCTGGGGTTTAGTTTTGCATGCAAAGATTTGGAGCTGGCAGTCAAGCTAAGATACTAATTGCTGTTTCTTTATCAGATAAAGGATTTTATGCAAGATTTTGCTTCTAATCATATCATTCCCTACATGGAGCAAAAGATCCGTGTGCTCAATCAGCAGGTATGTTGATAGTTTTTTTTACCATTTTCAGATGTATGGTTTAGTAAAATTCGGTATCGTTCTAGGTAGCCACAACAAGAAAGGGCTTCAGAAATCAGATAAAGAACTTGTGGTGGAGAAAGAGAGATGATGTCCCAGAAGCTGCAAATGGCCCAATGTAAGTATTTATGCTTGACACTTTTTACTGTATTTTATTCTTTTCAAACCTGCCCTTTTGCAGTAACACTATTTTTCTCAACAGGTATACATTCACCTCCATAGAGTCGCAGATCAGAGTTCTCAGTGACTATGCTTTCATGTTAAGAGACTACGAGCTTGCTTTGTCCAATTACAGATTACTTTCGACAGATTATAAGCTTGATAAAGCTTGGAAGCGTTTTGCTGGTGTTCAGGTGCTTGAATTTCCTTAACTTATTTTTAAGTACTTTATGCATGGGTACATGATCATCATGTATAATGATTTTGGGTTTGAACTAAAGGCACAGCTAGTGGCAATTCTAAAGGATATGTCTGGCTTAGCAGTTTCAGTAAATCAAGATATGTTCTTTACCATAAGAATAATTGACAAGAGGCTATGCCTTACTCATACGATAGACCAGATGATATGCTTTCAAATTCCTTCCACAGCAGTAGAGTTGCTGAACTGTTTTCCGGTGAATAATGAAATTGGTACTGACTTTGTTGTGATGGTCCATTGTTTATCTGTAATAGATATTCACTCCTATGATGTATGCTTGCGTCTTTTGCAGGAGATGAGTGGACTTTGCTATTTCATGTTAGATCAGTCAAGGAAGGATGCTGAATATTGCATGGAAAATGCCTTCACTACATATTTGGTATTTATTTAGTTTAGAAATCCACTTTTAGGTTTACACACATGAACAAATAATTATTGCTTAACATTGTTGATCGATTGATACATCTTCGCTATTCTGTGCTAATGGCCCTAGTTCTCGGTGTTCTCCAGAGAAAAAGAGAATCTGATAAAGTGGGAAGACATGGGGGAAATGATTTCTAATTCCATTTTGCATGAAACACTTTACTCTATTTCAGATGCATCTGAAGTCTGATGAATAATCAATATGAACCTCTTATAGCAATGCTAGTATTAGTGACCTTTTGGGAGTTCTCATTGAAATAATCTGGAAATATGCGTCTTCTAGTAACTCTGCAAGATAAAGCAGTCAATAATAACAACTATAAATGCACTAAAATTTCTTCAAAGCAGATAAGTAAGAGCCCAAATCAGACATGCCAAACCAGCCATAAATACGCCAGAACCTCCTTTTTCTTTGTGAAATCGTGAGATATACAGAAGGCCCGTGCTTTTCCCTTTGTTATTTTTGGGAGAGCGTGTCCATAGGTGGTAGGGCCATGTGCATAATGAAGGGGAAGTTTGAACTCTTAGGCCTCCTTTGGTTTGGAGGAATCTTGTAGGATTTCTAAAGGATAGGATTTTTGTAGGAAAAATTCCTATGGAGCCCTTTGGTTTGTAGGAATGGATTCCTATTCCTATATAGGATAGGAATCAATCTTTCACATTTCAAAGGGAAAAAAACATTAGCCTAGACTCAGGCCTCTTTTGGTTCATAGGATAGGATTATCGTAGGAATAGGAATCTTGTAGGAAATGAGATGACATGTATCTCAAATCCTATGAGTAGGAATAGGAAACAAGATGTCATTTGGTTGACACCAAAGGAATTTTTCCATTGAGTCTAGGCTCATTTTTATTTTCCTATGAAATGTGGAGGATAGGAACCAATCCTATGTAGGAATAGGAATCCATTCCTATGAACCAAAGGGCTCTAAAGGAAAAAATCCTATAAGAATCCTATCCTCTAGAATTCCTATGAAATTCCTCCAAACCAAAGGAGGCCTCAATGGAAAAAATCCTATCCTATGAATCAAGTGACATCTCTTTCCCTATAGGAAGTGAGATGCATGCCACCTCACTTCCTATGATTTTCCTATTCCTATGATATTCTTTCCCTATGAACCAAAGGAGGCCTTAATTTAGCCAGATGCATATTTTTTGCATTTTGCATGATACTCCCTCTGTCCCATAATGTAAGACGTTTTTTCTGACACTAGTGTAATGTCAAAAAACGTCTTACATTATGGGACGGAGGGAGTAGAAAGGAATTTAAAGTAGTGGGGTTGTTTAAGTAGAGATTGCTATCCTTATGTGTTACTTCGATTCTTTCACTTGATTGGTTTTGAATTTATCATTGTTCGTTTTTCTTCACTTGTTTGGTCTTGCTCTTCTTCATAGAAAGTATCAATAAATATTCATATTTTCAGAGAATTGGATCTTCTGGTCAGAGAAATGCTACTAGATGTGGCCTTTGGTGGGCAGAAATGCTTAAAACACGAGGACAACATAGGGAAGCATCAACTGTTTATTTCCGCATATCAAATGAGGTATACCTAGAAGCATGAGGAATGGTCTATTCTAATATTTTTTTTAAGTTCTCTTTTAGTTCGTTAGATTTATGAATGATGAAACCTGCTGCTATTCAGGAACCTTCCTTGCATTCTGCTGTGCTGCTTGAGCAAGCTGCTTGTTGCTATTTGCTGTCAAGTCCACATATGCTTCGGAAGTATGGATTTCACCTCATCTTAGCTGGCAATAGTTACTACTTGTCTGATCAGGTGTATATTAATTCCTCCACTGCAGTGACATTTTAGCAACAATACAGTAGTTGACTTAACAATGAGCATTCGTCCTTAATGGTGCAGAAACAACATGCTGTTCGGGCATACAGAAACGCTCTGTTTGTCTACAAACAAAATCCTTGGAGTTACATCAACAATCATGTACATTTTAATGTTGGGAGGTACTTGCGTAATTTTCTGCTCATTTGCCCTTGCTTGTAAACTATCTCTGACACTTGTACGAATTAGGTGGTATGGAGTCCTTGGGATATTCGATGTAGCTATCAAGCACTTGCTGGAGGTTATTGCTTGTAGCCATCAGTCGCTGACAACGCAAAGCATGTTCCTCAATGATTTCTTCCATTTTGTTCAGGTTATTGACCAGCTTGGTTATGGTTTGCATCAGCTGTACCAAACTTTTGTTTCTAATTTTTTTCTTTTTTTCGTAAACAGAGTACAGGGGAAAAGTTTGATGTATACAAGCTTCAACTTCCTGTTTTCAACATGTCATCACTCAGAGTTGTAAATGAAGATCATCGCACTTACGCATCAAATGCAGATGTAATGTCATAACAACTATAGCATTCATATTTCTAATTGTCCGCCATTTCATTTTCGGAGTAATCAAAGATTGAACCTGTGGTGTTTCCGGAGCAATTTGTGATCAAACACTCTCATGCATTTATCATTTTTCTTAACTTTAACCAGGTCTTTGATCATTCTGCGCTTGTGATTGAAAATGAAGGCACTCCTAACTTGTATCAGCTACCTTGTATAACAGGTTGATGTTAATGAAAGCATTTGGCAGGAGCTGGAAGAAGAATTGATCCCATCATCATCTGTTGTTAGAACTAACTGGCTTGACACTCAGCCAAAATCTTCTCCTTTTAGAAATAACAAGGCATGTATTTGTGTTGCTGGAGGTAAATCTTGTTTCATTGTTTTAATATGTTACAACTGTCCGTAAGAAAATCGACTGATTATGAGTTCATTGATAGTTGCCTCAACAACTGAACTGCATCTGGAACATGAAAATGTGGTATATCTACTATTTGAGTATAATTATGCAAACACACGGACCAATCATTTGAGGAACATGAGGGTAGCCTGATGTGCAACTTTTCCGAGTAAATCCCTCGTACATTGGGAAATTATAAGGGCTCCCACCTTCACGCTTCAGGTTAGCTAGCACGTTACCAGCCCAACAAGGTCCAGTGCCACAGCCACTTATGACATTTAGTTACCAATTGCATACTCTCATCCAGTAGTACGCGACTCCATGTGGGTAGTGTTAAGCTGCATGCACTTGCCAACGCAACCAAAAGTCCGAACTAATGGAAAGGGCTAGGCAATCCACATATACACTTCAATACCCTCTCTCGTGTGTGACGCGAGAAGTCAACGTGTGAACAGACTCAGAGGTATGGCTCAGGAGGCCTATACGTGGACACAGAGGGGGCAGCGGCAATTTTTGGATAAATTGTGAAAACCAGGACTTGAACTCAAGACCTTAGGCTCCGTTATCATGTTAAGCTATCCACATATACACTTCAACAGGTAGTTTGTGCTGTTACACTCAATATTAGTTTGAACTAGACATATCCCATCTGTTCATTTCAATTATATAAATATGTATAACCTGTGAAATTGCTTGGAAATGAACCATAGTTTTTACTCTGACCTGTTATCGAAAAAATTATACTTGTCTGGGCAGAACTGGCCACTACCCTCCTAATGCCGACTATTTCGACTGACAGGTCATCACTTGAACGAAAAACCTACACATAGGAATCACATAACTAAAATGATATGTTTTGTTCATCTTCTGCTCACTTGATTTGTGCTCAGTAACCATTTGATACTTCTAACTGCCCACTCGGGAAAGTATACTAGAAGCAGACGCGTGCTTTCCCATGCTGCTTCCTTATTAGGGTTTATCTGTTTGGTTGTTTATTCGCTTGTGGGTTTTTTGTGTCGTTGTTTTTATGGTTTTGGTGGGGGTGGTCGTGGTGTGAAGTCCATTGGAAGTCATGCTTGAAGAGCCCACATTTTGATGGACAGGCAGCTGCCACCAGCTTCACACCCAGTAAACGCGACTGGCTTAGCCCAACAAATTCTATACACAAATGACGCTGCTCCACATTGCCTGTTTCATTTTGTATTTTGTGTCCTCTTCCAGAAATATCCAGTTGCCCCTAGTTCTTGGTGACCAGCAGCAATGGCGTCCTCCGGAGCCCGGAGGTACCCGCAAAATCAAGCACAACATCGCGAGGAGGCGTAGAGCCGTAGACATCACCCCACACGTGCAGTCCACAGCACGATCGTTCGTCCCTCCCCCTATCTGTGACGCAGCGACACAACGACACACGACCCAAAACACACTGGAAGAACGGCAGGAGTAACGAGGTGTAGGCTAAGGCGGTAAAGGAATGTTGTTCGGTCGATGACGCTCGATGCCCACATCGAACCTGCAGCCCGGAATACTGAGAGCTCCCTATTTCTAGGGAGCTTAGAAGTTAAAATACGTTACCAGTAATTTATTTCTCTAGCAGAGAGAG